TTTATCACAAACATTCAACATCAACACATAAACACTTCATCCTTCAGTTTATCACAAACATTCATCATCAACACAATCAGACAGCAGACTAGCGGGAAAGGGAAGCAGTGCTTCTCCACTAGCTGAACACCAGACAGGTTAGGCTAGCTGGATGACGTCATGCTAATAACTTATTTAGCTTTTGAAAACAACGGGACGGATCCAGCACGGACAGTTAGGGAGTGAGGGACATGAAGCACCTGCTGAGACATGATATATAGTTATAAATAAATCATTATATATATGTGTGTGTGTTTTATATTATAGTGAATATTATTATATGATATATATTATTATATTATACTGAGACTAAAATAAGATGTCCTGACGTGTTTATCAAAGTGTTATTTTCTGCTTTTTTTCATGTTGGAATAAAGGTTAAATATTTAACTGTAAAGTAGTAATACGTGTTTGATACCTTAATGTTTTTGCATTAAATCATTCTGGGATGTTTGCTGACATTGATTGGATGTGGCACAGCCCTACAGAGAACATGCTCCACCAGCCAACACTGAGATCAGCATCACTTTATTTGATAAGGCGTTTGTCTTTCATGGCATTTATTACAACAGCTCGGTAATAAACAGTTTAATATTTGCAGCAGCTCTCACAGAGATACTGCTGTAGTTAAATATGAGTACAGTGCTTATAATAAGTATTCCCCTCCCTTTTACTGAATCAAAGTAGATTTTTATTCAAAATATTGATCTGTATCTCACTTTTATATCTTTATATATTGAATATCGTTGGGTTTTGGACAGTATACAAATTGTGATTGTGAGTGATAATTTATTACAGTTTAAACAATCAATGAATGAATCAGGAAAAGAGCAGGTTAATCTATAAAGAAAACAATCATTAGTGGCCTGATGAAGATAAACTTGAGGACACTTGCTATAGAAGTGAAGCATCACATTTGAAAGTGACAGAAACAACCAAATTCACATGATTCTTTTTCACAACGTCCATGTTTGCTCCATATAAGTTTTATTTATTTGAGTTTCTGCTTACAGCTACATTACCAAGCATGAACGTGTGACAAGCAATGGACAGTGATGAGGTTCACGTCTCTGTAACATATATTCTTCTACTATTCCACCAAAATGTTTGTTTTTGAAATGATTTCATGGAGTTTTGTCTTCTGTTTTCCAGCTGCCTTCCATCACATTGGGACTTTATGGGGTGGTGGGGAAGGCCTAGACCCCCACCTTGATCCCAAACCCTGCCAATGGACAAACAGGGAGCCATGAGTACACCAGGCAAGGTCAGCGGGCTCAAACCCCCGAGCAAAATAGTCCGTCCATCTGGGGTGCCGTCAAAGACGTCTCCATCCTCCGGTAAGAAAGCATTTACTCACGTTATATTTAGGGAAGAAGAATGAGTGGACTAGTTTAAGTGCCATGACAACAACCATGGTAGCAAACTCTCCAGGTAAACAAAGCAACAAAACACACCTTTCATAAAATAAATAAAGCATTGTTTGTGATTGCAGGCGCTCCAAAGTCAGTTCCTCCAGAGAAGTCCCCCGGCAGAGTGACCTCCCCGACCCAGGATGGAAGCGCGGACTTCCAGGTCAGCGAGAGGGTCTGGGTCAACGGCAACAAGCCCGGCCAAGTGCAGTTCATCGGGGGCACGCAGTTCGCTCCCGGGCAGTGGGCGGGCATCGTGCTGGACGAGCCTATCGGGAAGAACGACGGGTCGGTGGCGGGCGTCCGGTACTTCCAGTGTGAGGACGGGAAGGGGATATTCACGCGGCCTTCAAAGCTGTCCAAGACTGCACTGCCAGAGACGGAGGCGAACGGGGGGCAGGCCAGTCCTGCACCAGGAGCCCCTGCAACAAGCGAGCCTGCACCTGCTGGCTCTGCCTCAACTGGTAACAGCTAATTCATCAGTTAGAAACATGCTTATTCACCCTCTGTTTCTCAGTCATGGAAAGGCGTTTTATTGTTCTTTGTTCAGCTCAGGGCACCGGCATTAAGACGAGTGCTGCACTTAACCGAATGCTCACATCCAGCGAGTCGGTGTCTAACGTCTCAGACACAGAGTCCATGAAGAAGAGGAGGGAGCTGAGGCTGGGAGACCGCGTGCTGGTAAGAGTATAAAGTCACTAATGTACTCAGAGTTTATCATTATGATATCGTACATTTATTTGTCTTCTAATGCTAAAATAAGTTTTTCAAGTCCGATTCAGCAAACTCTTGATTGCACAAACTTGCTGATTTCAACATCTGTTCATGACATCGTGCACATCTGTGAGATTTAATCACTAGCTTAAGCTTTTGGTGCGTAAAGAAGAAAGAATTCCTCCCTGCCGAGCTGGAAGTCTTTCTGTCACGGTCCAAGTGTTTTCATTATAGTGTGTTTCCTGTTTTAGTTTGAAAGTCTTCTCCTCGTGTTTGTTTGCCACCTGTGTGATTGTCCTCCCCGTCCTTCACGAGGTTCACCGGTCCCTCGTTGTCTCCCTCTTCTCCTTGTGTTTCATCTCTCTGCTCCCGTTGTCCATTGTCTTTCTTTTCTACTGTTACTGCATGGAGTCACCTGTGTGCTGTCTTGATTTGTTTGTCTGTGCGTAGGTTGGTGGTAACAAGGCAGGAGTGGTGCGGTTTCTGGGAGAGACAGACTTTGCAAAGGGAGGCTGGTGTGGAGTGGAACTGGATGAACCACTTGGGAAGAATGATGGAGCCGTCGCAGGGACCAGGTAAAGACCGCCGACTAAGCATATGTCTGTTTTAACATTTAGTAACCTGTAAAAGTCACCCGTCAGTGCTGAGGGTTCGGTTGGTGCCTGACCCGTTTTCCCCTCAGATACTTCCAGTGCATGTCCCGGTACGGTCTGTTCGCTCCGGCCCACAAGGTGACGCGCATCGGCTTCCCGTGCACCACGCCGACTAAGGCGAAGAGCTCGCGGAGGATGTCCGCCCTCAAGAGGAGCCCCAGTGCTTCCTCCATCAGCTCGCTCAGCTCCGCCACCTCCTCCATCAGCGGCAAACCCAGCCGAGCAGGACTGGTAAGACTCTGCTGTTATCCAACAACACTGCAGAGGTTTATGTTCACTGCTCATTCAAACGCATCCCCCAAACCGTCCTGAGTCAATGCTAAAGTTGTGTATCTGGGTTATCTCCCTTCACTTTATCTTTGCAGCTGACGGAGACGTCTGCTCGCTACGCCCGTAAGATCTCCGGCACCACGGCGCTGCAGGAGGCCCTGAAGGAGAAGCAGCAGCACATCGAGCAGCTGCTCGCGGAGCAAGACCTGGAGAGGTGCGCGGTGGCCAAGGCTACGAGCCACGCGGGAGAGGTGCAGCAGGAGATGGTTGTCCTGAGGAAAGGACGGGATCAGGTCAGACATTTTCATCTGCAGTCAAACAATCAATTCAGCTCAAAAGAAAATAGACTTAAAATAGATTCTAGACGTCTTCAGAAAAACTGCGGTCTAAATGTCTGCGATTGGATCTCGTGTGCAGTCGTTGATAAATGTCATTTGTTCTGTGTGTTCACAGTATGCGGTGGAGATGGAGGCAAAGTTGGATCAGCTGCGTTCGCTGGTGGAGGCAGCTGATCGGGACAAAGTGGAGCTGCTCAACCAGCTGGAGGAGGAGAAACGGTGAGGCCTGCAACACGATGCTGTTCATGGAGACCAACGGGCCTGATGTTGTTGACTGTCTGACATGTTCAAAGACACTTTGTGCTTGTGCCCGTATGACAGGAAAGTGGAAGATCTGCAGTTTAGTGTGGAGGAGGCCTGCATCACCAGAGGAGACCTGGAGGTAACATTTGGTTATATAATCTGGTTCTCAATTAAACATTATTCTCTCACTCACTCCAGCTATCTATCTCCCTCCTGTCAGGCTGGATTTATTTATGAAATTCATGTGTGAATTATTGACAAACTCGATGGAAAGTTTAATAACTTATTCTACTGTAATGTGACAGTCGTGATGTTTAAAGTGTGTTTGTTTGAGGTTCTTCTCCA